GGTTTCTTTTCCTTTTGTGTGTATGAGAGTTTGCCTGCATGTATGCATGTGCACCATGTGCCTGCAGGGACCTGCAGAGGCCAGAGAGGGCATCCAATCCCTTTGAACTGCAGTTACAGAGAGTTGTGAGCAGCCATGTGGTGCTGGGAACCCAATTTAGGTTCTATAAAGACAACAAGTGTCGTTGACCACAGAGTCATCTTGCTAGCTCTGTTTAAACTGTTTTTAAAGTATGTGCAATTTGATGTTTCTTGGTATATTCTGTCAACATTGCCACTATATAGTTCCAAAACATTTTCATAACCCCCCCCAACCCTCCAAATCATTATCACTCCTATTGGCCAGTTTCCTCCTGCTCCTGGCAACCACCAATTTACTTATCGTTTCTGGATCTTCCTATTCTGAATGACTCACAATAATAGTAACACAATTATAAAATACATGACTTTTGTGTCTGAGTCTTTAGCTTAGTGAACTATTTTTAAGACTCATCCATATTGTACCATCAACTAGTGTGTCATTTCTTTTTATGGTTGAACAGTGCCCTATTGTATGGCTATACCTTACTTTATCCATCCATAAGTTGATTGACATTTGTGTTGTTTTAGCTTTTTTTTTGCTATTACGAATATTGTTTCTGTGAATATTGTTGTACAAGTTTCTAGGCAGACATGCTTTCAGTTTCTTGAGTATATACATCTAGAAATGCAGCTGCTGGGTTCATATGGCAATTTGGTGCTTAATTTTTTTAGCAACTGCCGAACTGTTTCTAAAGTGGCTGTCTCCTTTTACAATCCCACCAGTTTCTCCATAGCACCCCTAACACTTATTAACTCCCCCCCTTTTTTCTGTTTGTAGACAGTCTCAGTATAAAATGGAATATCATAATTTTGATTCACAATTGCCCAGTGACTGGTGGTGCTGAGTATCCACTCATGTGCTTAGTGGCAGAGAGTATTTATTATATTATTATTATTATTATTATTATTACTATTAGCTTAAAAATTTTTGTTTGGCAAGTCTCTGTTGTATGGCCAGTTCTATTATATGGGGTTGCTGGGGGGCAGGGCAACCTCTAAGCAGGCGATTGGAGCACAGTAAGATACTAGAGTATAATGAACACAGCATGGACACAGTGTGGAGTAGGACCTCAGAGGAGGAAGGAAGAGGTGAGTGCAGGCTGAAGAGAGTTTGTGAAACACACAAGGAAGGAGGAGGGCGTGGAAGACCATGGCGCCTGTGAGTGTCTAGGGGTGGGGCCCCAGTCATCACTGTCATCAAGGGAAGAGCACTGCCACCCATCCCAAGCCAGGCCGTTAGGCAGGTCTCCAGCTCCTGAGGCAAGCCAGCCTCAGGCCTCAACCAGCATAGGATTCTCTGTTTTCAGGGTTTGCTTACTGAGCTGGTTTGTCTCCACCTGTGGTAAATTTTACAGCCTCCTTACACAACAACAACAACAACAACAAAGTGAGCAGTAATGAGATAGGCCCTCATCGAACTTCCCACATTATACAGCTAGGCATGGAATCCAGGTCATGTGACTCCTAATTGTCTCCACAATTGCAAATTAAACCTCGGCTCTTAATTTGGCGTTCAAGGCCATTTATTCTCTGATTTGAACTACCTTATTTTTCTGCCTCACCTCTGTTTCCTGCCTGTAACTGAATCACCTTTTAGGGATCCGTGCAGAAACATCTCACCCCATCTTTTCTGGTATACTTTCTGTCCTCCCATGTTCTCCCATCCAAGTACTAACCAGGCCAAAACTTGCTTAGCTTTCTGGACCAGTGCACAAGATCAGTTGCACTCAAGGTGGTATGACTGTAGCTGAGGTCTATGTTCTCGTGTCCTTAAATGGTCATACTTTCACGTACACCAAACTATTCAATACTTTTTATTTTCCTCAAGTTTTTAACATACAGAATCGATCATCTTCACATCATGTGAGTAGGAATTATTCACTACAATTCACAGATGAGGAAATGGGCTCAGAGAAGAAAAACAACTTATCCAACCTTGCTATGGGCCAGAAAGATCTCTCTTGCTTGTGAAATCCTATATTCAAGTTTGGCTTGAAATCTTGAGTTATCTTCCCACGGGCTTTTATCATGTATCCCCATCTGATTGCTTATGCATTTGCTTCAAGGACCCAGCCTCAATTTTGCAGAGTGTAATTCTCAAAAAATATTAGCTGACTTATGGAAGAGAATCTTCTGGGACTGAATTACACAATAGGGCTTTTCCTATATGTTCATGCTATAACACTAACGTTTGTGACCTTATATGATAGTGACCTCCCCAAAATGTAAACCCAGTCTCTTTTGTTCCTCCTTTGTCCTTGGGTCTATCTGCATGCTGCGGGGATGCATAGCCTCTCCTGAAGTAACCTAATTTCCCTCATTATGTTTTGAAAGAGTTGAATGAGGTGACTGAGAACCATTGCTCACAGAGGACCCAGATTTGTAAGCCTGAATGACTGCCTCCTCCTGCACTAACTCAACACCAGTATCAGTCTGAACTGCTGTTTCAGGTCTGGAAGGCAAGGCATAGCCAGTTAGTTCCCATTTGGTGGCATCTCACATTTTAAACTTGTCACACTGAAGACTGGATCAGGAAGAAGTCCTATAGCACCCTCCCATCTGATCTTGGACTCTCTCTGTCTCTTCTGTCTTGTTCATTCTCTCTCTCTCTCTCTCTCTCTCTCTCTCTCTCTCTCTCTCTCTCTCTGTGTGTGTGTGTGTGTGTGTATGTCTCTGTCTCTGTCTCTCTGTCTCTCTGTGTGTGTATGTATGTGTGTCTGTCTGTCCCAGTCTTTCTGCTTCCTTCCCTCCCTCCTGTCTCTCAACCTCCCCTCTCCTTCTCCTCTCCCCTCCCATTCTTTTCCCCACTCCCCTGTGTATATATGGGCACAAACACCCTATGCCAAGATAATTTCATTTGAAGCACTCTCTTGAGGTTTTACATTTCAGCAGGCTTTTTGCCTTAGAAAGATTCAGCATTGATTTGTAGGAGGGAAGATATTGTTCTTTTAGAAACACCCAGGTCCCCTCTACTGTTCATGCCTAACCCGCTGGATGGGTTTTATAGATAAAAAGAGAACAAGAACAGATCATTCTTGTGAAAACAGAGCCATGGATGAGTCTGCCCTAGCAGGAAGGGCCTTTCCCCAGCAGGGGCTGTTAACTAAGACCGTCTTTTTCCTGAGTTTTTCCTTTGTACTTCATATGCTGCCTGTCATTTCTTTCTTTTTTTAAAATTTAATGTTTATTTACCTTCTGCTTATAGAAATAAAATGATCCTGGCACCCTGATAATAGGAAGCATAATATCCTACTCACAGAGTGCCCAGTGTGCCAGGCACAGTTTGAAGAGTACTCTGAGCTCTGGTTCTCTTCCCCCAGCTGTATTATAGAGGCCTGAGCTCAGCTAGCCTGGGGCTTTGCTCATCTCTTCCCCCTGTCATGGAGGAACTGGGGCTAACTCAGAACTTTTTGATACAGAGGTCCCACCTCTGACCAGCTGAAGCTAGATTTGAGAAGACTGCATTTGAGTGCTTTCTGGAATAGTTACTGGTTTATAAGCATCCTTCTTAGTTTTACTAACAAGTTGTGAGGAGAGAAAGCTGGCCTGGGAGAGACATGTGAGCATGTTTAACACTTGGCACATGTACACACACACATACACACACACACACACACACACACACACATGAGATTGCACATAGCCAGCTGCTGGCCACATGCCACATGGGCAGCATACTAGAGAATGCATTTAAGATATGTAGTGAGAACCTTTGGGGAGTATAAGAAACAGGAATTTCCAGAGTCTCACATCCATCCCAGAAAACTAACTGTTTTACTACTAAGGACCATTCTCAGAGTAGGTTCAGATATCTACCTCTACAGCTTTTGTGTTTGAACTTCTGGTTTCCACAGTGGGAGACAAATCAGCCAAACCTGTTTTGAATCCTCACAGGATTTTGTGAGATTAGGTTAAACAGTGAGGAAATGAGGAGAAATAACATGTTGGTATTTGTGTGGCATGCCTCGGGACATGTTATGAGTACACCCAAACACAAGACAAGTCACAAGAGCCATTCCCCACTCGTGGCTCTTCCTCAGACTCACACTTTGGACACGCCACTGCCATCCCCCGGATTAAGTTCTCTCATCTGTGAAGTGAGAGTTGGGGCGATCACCAGGGTCCCTTAGACTCCGCCTTGTGACATTTGTGCCGTTGAGGAGGAAACACACCTTCCTTTCCTCGGCCTGTCTATGTGGGGTTGGGGAACTCCATGCCCTTACAGAGTAGGTGTCCCTGTAAGAAGGGCCGCCTCTCCTCTTATGCCTCTTGATTACCAAGCCACAGAAACCAAGTTTTCTTGAGGGGATACTTAGTGTAGAAACGTCCTGAGTATTGAGAGATTCACGTGTCAATTGAGTTCAGACCAGCTATCTTAGTTACCTTTCTATTGCTGTGACAAGATACCATGACCAAGGCAATTTATAAGCCGAGAGAAGCGACCTGGGAATGCCACAGGTTTTTAAAACCTCAAATCCCACCCCAGCTACACCCTGCCCCAGCCATTCCCACCTTCTAATCCTTCCCAAACCATTTTACCAACTGGAGACCAAGTAGACAAACATGAGCCTGTGGGGCTGTTCTCATTCAAATCACCACACCAGATGACGGTCCAGGAGCTATTCCAGCTCCCGGATTCTAGAATTCCATAAAAGGCAACCCTTTAGATGAATATGCTGAAACCCCTATGCAGAGTCATGTGGGTGCTGTTTTAGTACTTTGTATGTGGTTGATTGGCACACACCCTGGATGCTGTATGCTGCTTTTAAGAGCTCCCTGTGCAGGTTACAATAGGCCTTGGGTTTGTTTGCTTTTCCTTTTTAGCTGGTTTGGCCTCATTTACTTTCTAGAATTTGAAGTTTTGAACTTTTTGAGTGTTTTGACTCATAATCAACCTTGTTCTCTTGATGTGCATTTTAGAAGACAAATCTGATCTTGAGAACAGTGTGATGCAGAAGAAAATAAAAATCCCCAAACTTTCTCTCAGTCACCTAGAAGACGATGGGGAGGTTAAAGACTACGGGGAGGAAGACTTACAGCTCAGACACATCAAGGTAACAAAATCTTTGCTTTTCTTGGACCTTCATGGGAGTGACTTTATATTTTCCAGAGCTAAAGAATTCCAGTCTGGCCTCCTTCCCCATATAAATCTCCCTGGTGTCATAGGCCATGGGCATTGTTTTGTTTGGGGTTTTTTGGAGAAGGAGGAGGATGCGTGCGACATCAAGTTACATTCTCCCTATGGCCTGCTGTTCAGAGAGTCCTCATTTAGATTGTACCACCAGGCACAGTCCGTGGCGGTGTGTGCGGTGGCGTGGCTGCTGGAGATTCGGCTTTTCCCTGGCACACAACTCTGGAGAAGTCACGCTGAACTATGTGAACATTAGGCAGCTGTTGGTCTTGGGTTGCAGTTTTGAGCTAGTCACTATCAAATTGTCCCAAATTTCTGAGGGTGGATTTGCTGGGGAAAGATATTGGTAAAATTCACAGAGGGCATTTATGGGGTCCTGGATTGGATGAAAAACTTTTCATGAGGTTGCATTTCCTTGTTCAGTGGCCCAGCTGGTCTCTAACTATATGAAAAACAAACAAACAAACAAACAAAAACCCTGCTGGAAATCTTGTTCCGCAGTCTAACTCTACCCTCTTCCTCCATTCTGTGAGTATCCCAGAGAAAGGAAGAGGGAGGAGAAGAAAGGTAACTTCTGCTCTGTGATCTCATTTGGGACACAAGGTCAAGAACATCCCCAGGGTGTAGTCCAAAAGATGCAGTCAATCCACTGGGTGACATCTGTTACACCCCTGCTGTGGCTCTGGCCCAGTGCTGGCCCCTGGGGTCATGGAGTGTAGCCATGTGGTCCCTGTACCCAGAGTTCTCACAGTAGAGTGATGCAGACGGATGCTTAGGGTGATCATTATGATTTTAGTGGATGCATTCATCGGTTCTTTATCTCAGTAAATAAAATGACCAGGACTTTGCAGTGTTACTCAATCTTAAGTCATGAGTTTACCTCGTTTTCATTTCCTTTCATTTCCTGGAACTGGAAAGTTGAGTCAGGCATGGTTATGGTGTAGAGACTCTTGTGTACTCTGTCTGCACCTCCTGTCATGCCTTTGGGAGGGCTCATGACCCTTCAACCCTGGGTGAAGACTCAGCCACCCTGCTCTTCTGCCACCCTCAGTGGGAGTTTGGTGCACATGAGCTGAAATTGCCTCAGCCCCAGGGAAGTGGCCTTCATTACTCTGTGCTGTCCTGCTGAGGGAGAGGCTGGCAGATGTGAGAGAGGAACTCCGTGCTGGGAATTGGGCTCCAGATTCTGCTTCTGGCTCTGTGGCATGTAATTCCCCATGCTACCCTGGGGATGGTTCCTCCCCTCCCAGGGGCTTGATTTGCCTACCTGCACCATGAAGAAAACTGAAAGCACCCCAATGTTAACATTCTTTGAAGTTTTCAGTTGAGTAAACATTTGTCAGGCTCCTGCCAACTGCCAGTCCTGAGTGAGTAGGCAGTAGAGAACCAGAGAAAACAAGACATATGTACTGCCCTAGATTAGAGTGGGTTTGGGTTTTGACGTCCTTCCAAACTGAAACAGTCTTTAAAAGGTTGCAAGATAGAATTCCTTGCATATGTATGTCCTTGAGTATGATTCCTCTTGAAGACTTGCACAGGCCAGATTGTCTCCCAATCCTCTGAAAATTCACACTGGACACCCCCATGAGCAAGTGACTCCAGGCACTGTGGAGGCGAGGGAGGGCTGGGAAATGTACAAGAGTGGTCCTGGTATGTGCATCCCAGAGGCCGAGTGCTGGAATGGACAAAGTGAAATGTTAGCATGACAAGAATGACGTGGTTCTGCGACCCCCTGTTTGTATGACTTTTGACAAAAGCACTCTGAGCCTCTGTTTTCCCCATTTGCACAATGAAGGGCTTTGACTGTGTCTGTAACAGGTTTCTCCAAGCACTGATGTTCTGTGGTTCTGTGATTCTAGGATTGTCTGGGCAAATATTGAGCTGCAGTCCAAGAAAGTCCCAGCTGCCCTTGCCTGAACTGATTCTCGTTGTCCTACACAGAGACCGGAGGGGCGAAAGCCTAGTGAAGCGGCCCACAAGAGTATCGAGGCAGTGGTGGCCCGGCTAGAGAAACAGAACGGCCTGAGCCTGGGTCACAGCACTTGTCCGGAAGAGGTCTTTGTGGAGGCCTCACCGGGCACAGAGGACATGGACAGCCTGGAGGATGCTGTTGTGCCCCGGGCTCTGTATGAGGAGCTGCTGCGAAACTACCAGCAGCAACAGGAGGAGATGCGCCACCTCCAGCAGGAGCTGGAGCGGACTCGGAGGCAGCTGGTCCAGCAGGCCAAGAAGCTCAAGGAGTACGGGGCACTGGTGTCTGAAATGAAGGAGCTCCGAGACCTCAACAGGAGACTCCAAGATGTGCTGCTCCTGCGACTTGGCAGCGGTGAGTGCCCAGGCAGGCCACTTACCATTCTTCACAGTGGGAGGGGCACCTTCCTGCTGCTCCCCTTCCACTAGGATAAAGGGGAGAAGCAGGTCAAGTGCCTTTGAGGCTAGGGAAGGAGAGAGACTTGGTTCAACACTCACCCCAAAGAGGAGTCACTCTCCTCTTTATGGATATGATAGGAAGCTGTGAATGCAGCATTGGCCACACTGTGGGAAGAACATTGGGGAATGTGGCTCGGAGAACATGAGTAGACAGAATGCTTGCTACTGCCCATTCAGCAAGAGGTAACATGGGCACTTAGGGTAGCCCTCCAAACAGACCTCAGGACAGTAAAGAAAACTGGATGTGATCTGAAACACATAGTTACTGTGAGCCAGAAAATGACTAAGTGGGGATCCTGTTAACATGACCAGATTCTATGGGAGAGACTTTAGGAAGTGCCTGGGTCTTGAAAGGTGGGCACTATATCCAGGCACCCGAGATTTCAAGGGCAGCACTCATGAGAATGGGAAACCTGTGGTGCATGTTAGGAAGAGCTGCTGCAGATGTGGAGGGCAGAGGATAAGAGTGCTGAAAACTACCATCTTGGGTAGTCAGGGCTTGTTTCAGTGGGAATGGGAGGCTTGAAATCGCTTTTGAGGACTGGGGGATATAGTTCAGCAATAGAGTGCCTGCATAGTCTGTGCAGAGCCCAGAGTTCAACCCACTACAAAGCAAAACAGACAAGAATGCTTTGTGCTTTGGAGGTATGTAGGGATTAGTGTAAAGATACACAAAATTCCTTTGGTTTGCTCATAGGAGAACCACCCTGGCCTTTAAGATTTCTCATCTGAAGTGGTGTAGAGGCTGGAATGAATGGATTCTAAAAGGCAAGGACTGTGAGAAGAACAGACAGAACTTCCTGCAGAGTGTAAGACTTTAGCAGTGTGCAAGGTGGGGCCAGTCAATACAAAGGTTGTTCTGCCATGCATTCACAGCCTTCCTGGCTTCTACATCAAGGCACTGTGCTCAAAAGGGGAAGTGAACTAGGTTAGAAAAATGAGTCCTGTCTCCAAAGCCTCCAAATATTTCACTGAAGAAGAAAGGTCTCCATTATCTAGATACGCAGTACACATTGATGTGTAGACTCTGTTCTTCAATTTGTGTGGACAGGCCTGCTTTCACACTACCCCTTTTCCGTTTGCAGGTGCCTTTTGCTTCTTAAGTGTGCCTTCATGGTAATGTCTCAGTAGATCAGCCAGGGGCCTTTTCCTGACCTTGACACAGAGGAGCAAGCAGGGCAGGGGTTGACAGAGACAAACCTCCAGCTCACACTGTGTCACTGTAGTTAATGTGCTGGAAGTGTCTCCACTCTCCAGCTCTGCCTTCACCCTGGCTTTATCCCAGATCATAGGTTCACTGTGACACTAAAGGTTACATGTGACTTTCAGATCCACAGGGTATTTATTACAATAAAATCTCAGTGAGAAGCCATACCTGAGAATTTAAGAAGGCAGTGTTAGTGCTGTAGTGCAGGTGGACACTGGGGATAGAATTCAGTTTTCAGGGAGAAGTGTGTTTCCTGATCTTCAGATGAATGGCTTTTACTTTGATTGTGCTGAGCCTTTTGTGAACTTCTTCAGAAAGATGGGGAAGCACACCAACAGCAAACTCTTTCCACACCATTAGCTCAGCTCCTGAGGGAAATTACCTGTTTTGCATGATCCTGAACTGAGTTTAGACTCCAGAAACCACCCCTTCCTTGGGCAGTAAGAAATGGCATTTTGTGTAGACAGATGTCTCTTTTCAACCTAAAACACTTGACAGTGAAACCTAACCCTGACTATAGTTGGTGTCTTGACCTTGCCAGGATTTCTCATCCTGCATGACTTGAATGTCATCATGATGGCCAGTGGCCATCTCTTCTCTGGTATGTCACTGTTGCTGTCACAGTGAGATGGACTCCAGCAACAAGTATAGACATGGCTTCCAGCACTGCCACATACAGAGCCCTGTGCTCTCAGGGAGGTGACTTCACACACACACACACACACACACACACACACACACACACACACACACACCTTCCTCCATCTAGGAACACTTAAAGTCCATTTATTAACATGTTAATTGACACTAAGACAAATCTACGTGCTTCTTAATAATCAAAGGGTCTCTGCCTGTGTAAGGTTGTATATTTTATGGATGTATACAGGCCTGGATTCAAATTCTAACTTCCCTACAGTCTAACTATGTCTTTGAAAAATTCTTTCCTTTTCTTCTCCTTTTCCTTCCTTTCTAACTTCTTGCCTCCTGGTTCCCCTCACCAATACTTACTGTTCTCCTCCTGTGTCAGGCGTTGTGCCTATGGTGAGTAACAGTCTCATACATTTGGAACACACACTCACATATACACACACATACACAGGAACATATACACACATACACACATACACACATACACACACATATAAAACACAGATGCGCACACACACACATGTGCATGCATACATGTACACTTTGCCTTCTGCTCTGGAGGATCTCACAAGCACAGAGGACTGTAGCACAACAGATAAGACAACTGATTTTTGGAAGATTGATAAAGAAAAGCCACCTGACGGAAGAAAAATGGGCTTGAAAAGTGAGTTTCTATGCAGGCAGGTATAATTAGGTGGGAAGAATGAGGTGCAATCTAGTCAACTCTGTGAGCCTCGGTATTACACTCCTTAAAATGGGGCTGATATGAGCCCCCCTTGCAGCTTTGGAGCACTCAGTATAGTGTCTGGAACTCTGTTGATGCTCAGGTTCTATTAGCTACTCTTTTTCTACATCAATTGGAAGGGAAACTAAGATTGGGTATGTTTTGGATTTTAAAACTGGTTCCACCAATCAGTAATTGGTCCTGTGACTTTGGGCAGGTTAACCAACTTCTCTGCTTCTCGTTATATTTGACAGTAGAAGATAGAATGAGTTATAGATGTCATTCAGTTACTCAGTAATACCACTGGATACTTTCCAAGACTATAGACTTGGGGAGATACAAAGAAGGCAGAAACATTGGGATGAGGGTAGAGGGTGGTGGAGGTAAATGGGTAAACATATGAAAATGCAGAGCAACCAGCTGTGGAGGGGAGTCCCACATTTTGAGCAATCCTCTCTGCTCCCCCAGTTCTGGGGAAATAGTTATTCTGTAAACATTACCCAGAACCTGGGCAGAGAAAAAGAGCCAGAAAGTGACAGACATTTGTGGGGCCTCAGTTCCACATGGCCTCTAAGGCCTGGGTTGGTATCAGGCCAGGCTTTCTTCTTGTTCTTGGAGGCCTCACCTGCCTTCCTCTCCTAGGGTCCCAGCTCAAAATCCTCTTTCTACACTGGGTGCTGGATCATTTATACCCTGACAGGTTATTCAGAAACCAGGTTGGCCAATAGGTCAATCCTCAGTTTTAAGAGGATTTCTCCCCACATGGGAGGATTACTGGTAGTGTGGGAGTCTCAGCGTAGGTGGGGGGTGCTGGAAGGCAGTAGCCTGGCCTCTTGAGGCTCGTGGCTCATGACAGCTTCAGGCATGGGGATCCAATTCATTGGCAGCCAGGAGTTGTAATGGGTTAGCTCCTGGAGGTGGAGGCACACACTGAGGGGGACAGGGGCAGCAGGACGGCAGGAGTACTCTCGGATGCTTGGCTGGGTGATCCACTTCTCCATCTGTATGCTCTTTCATTCATTCTCTGGAAATGTCAGATGTGTCTGATGGGAAGAGTTCTCAAAAGCGTGGAATCCTGGGGCTCGGTAAGAACCGACAGGAGGTACACTGTCCTCACTTTGCTAAGGAAGAAGCAGGACCCCGCTGGTCCAGTGTGCCTATCTCGGGACCTTTACCCCCCATGGCTTTCTTTAGCACTCTGACTCCTTTGTCACCAATATGGATGTAACTATGCCATCCCTCATAAAGGACCATCCATTCCTTCTCCATGGTCTTAGCCTCTGAAATAACCCTTTCTGACAGGACATACATAACCTCACACTCTCGCCCAAGAGAGTCATTCATTTCAGTACTTGTACACAATTAAATAAGGAAGCACTGTTCGAGTGTGGCTGTGTGTCCACCACACAGTCATTGTTCAGCAAACGGCAGTCTGACTTCCTTTCCTCCCCTTTTCTCTCCATCCCCCCAAAGGATCCGTGGAGAGGATTCTGAAAGCATAAGGGCATCGCTGCTTACAAGGCACACACTGATTTATGGGAATATTCATTCGTTTATTCCTTCATCTTCAACAAATGTTTATTGAGATTGTACTTTGTGCCAAGACAGGGAGAGATGTTAGAAACCTAGAGATGACAGAGCCAGAGACACTCATAAAAAGCACCTGCAAGTTAGAGATTTAGTGTTTTCAAACTGGGGGATGGCGGACTCCAGGAAGGCCGAGGAGGTAAGGTGAAGCAGGGCAGTTGGGATGCAGGGGCCAAGGAACACCAGTGTGAGAGTCGAGCAGAGAGGTGTTTCAGCTAGTCCCTGTTCTTAAGCTTTCTAATTACATTATTTTTATTCACTTGAGGCCTGTGTGTGCGTGCATGTGGTGGGTCCCGGGGCTCGAACTCAGCTCCTCGGGCTTGGCAACAAGTGCTTTTACCAACTGAGGCATCTCACCAGCCCAAGTCCCTGTTCTTAATACACAGGGGAAAAAAACAAGTTTAGGCAGCCTCCCCAGTGTCATCCCTTTTGGTATGAACCAAGTGGCATAATTTCAATGCTTCTCTAAAAAAACCCTGAGGAATGTGAGGAGGAGTAGACATGTCCTTGCATTGAGGATGCACACAGCTGTGCCAGGGGCCACAACCATGGATACCTCGCACCAGGCAGAGTAAAATTGGTACAGTAATTGCAAGAGGAAGGCAGATAATGATTTTAGACTTTGTATATATTTTGTCAAGGAGTGTAGGTCCAGATGATGAATTCTGAGGGAGAGATAATAAGAATAATAACAGTAATTTGCATGTGCGTGGCACCTTACAGGTTTCAA